AGGCTGACGTGGTATTCGCTGACCGGTTGAGCAAGATGACTCATTTGGCAGCGGTGCCAGACACCATCGACGGGGTCGATACAGCAACGCTGTTCGTGGATCGTGTTTCCGACAGCACGGGCTCCCAGAGTCGATTGTCTCTGATAAAGACCCCCGTTTCACAGGAAGAATTTGGTCGATTATTTTCAAGGTGCTAGGCACCAAGTTGGATATGTCGACAGCGGATCATCCGCATACCGATGGTCAATCCGAAAGGCTGAATTGCGTCATCGAAGACATTCTTCGCAGCGTCTGCGCTGAGACGCCGAGGCGCTGGAGCGCCATGTTGCCACTCTTAGAGTTTGCGCTGAACAATGCAGTGCATTCGTCTACCGGCTACACGCCGTTCTACGTGAACGGTCTGGTTCACCCTCGTGTTCCGCTGACGCCGCCATCTCATGGCTCAGGGCTTGGTGGGGGGGAATAGCCGAACGGCTAGCTATTGTCAGCCCCGTCACTATCCACAAAGAAGTCGATGACATCTTGTCTACCAGACTTAGGGTCCTACGACCCTTCGCGATGCGATGGCGGAAAGCCAAGACCTGCAGAAAGAGTATGCAGATGAAAAGGAAGAGGCAAAGTTAAAAGCTGTAAGGTCGGAGACCTAATTTTATTAATTTCAAAAACCTGCCTACACATGCAACCTCTGCAATCTTCAGGACGAAGCTTCGTCTACGTTTCATCGGACCGTTTAAGGTTGTGGTCAAGCGGGGCCTAGCGTATGCGCTGAACCTTCCAAAACAGATGCGCACCCACCCGGTGTTATACGTGGGCTTGCTCAAGCCGAATCGGGATCCGGCGCGGATCCCACGGGCCCTCGCCCACCCAGAAACTGAACCAGCAATTGGTTCGGTGGCAAGCGCCCCACTGTTGCCTGCAGCGACGCATTCACCTGCTCCACGGCTAGAAGTCGCCCCGACAGAGCGCGGTAGTCCTCAAAGCGAGACAGCCGGCGCACGACGCGGTCTAAATCATCAAGAGCGTCTGCACAGCGATATGCTACTTCAGCATGACGCTCAGCGGAGC